AAAGTCGCCAGTTCTCATCTTCCAGCTCCCCAGATACTCCGCGTACTAAAGTTGCACTAGAAAGTCGCCAGTTCTCATCTTCCAGCTCCCCAGATACTCCGCGTACTAAGTTGTACTACAAAGTCACCAGTTCTCATCTTCCAGCTCCCCAGATACGCGCGCGCATGGGACTCATCGCCCTGTCGCCTGCATTTCGCGCACTCGATACGGACGATCTGCGCAGAGGGTTGCGCCGGACAAAACCAAATCGCACTCTCGCCTGCATTTCGCGCACTCGGCACGCACGATCTCCGCAGAAGGTTGTCCCGGACCGGGACAAATCGCACTCTCGCCTACATTTCGCGCACTCGACACGCACGATCCCCGCAGAGGGTTGTCCCGGACCGGGACAAATCGCACTCTCGCCTGCATTTCGCGCCCTCGACACGCACGATCTCCGCAGAGGGTTGCGCCGGACAAAACCAAATCGCAGTCTCGCCTGCATTTCGCACACTTGACACGCACGATCTCCGCAGAGGGTTGCGACGGACAGAGACAAATCGCACTCTCGCCTGCATTTCGCGCACTCGACACGCACGATCTCCGCAGAGGGTTGCGTTTCGTGGCGGTCCGGCGGCACTGCCCCCGGCCTTAAGAGAGAAAGTTAAGAAGAGCGAGAGGTGAAGATGTGAGCTGTAGATGTGAGGATGTGAAGATGAGCAGAGATGTAGATGTGCAGATGTGAAGATGAGCAGAGATGTAGATGTGTCAAGATGAAGATGAGGCGAGATGAGCACAGATGTAGATGTGTGAAGATGATGAAGATGAGCAGAGATGCAATGTGTGAAGATGATGAAGATGAGCAGAGATGTACATGTGCAGATGTGAAGATGAGCAGAGATATAGGTGAGAATGTGGATGTGCAGAGGTGAAGATGTGAAGGTGTAGATGATACGTAGTTCTGCAGATGTTCTTGACGACGAACCCTTCGCAGACGCTCTCGGGAAAAAAACGGTTATGGAAAACGAGTAAATTGTATACCATGTTTTTCCCCAACAAACAACATACAACTATCCCCGCAACAGACCCCAAACAGTGTTGAGAGGTCTAGAGGTCTAGAGGTGTAGAAACAGTCTAGAGATCCCAAAGGTCTTGAGATCCAGCAGAGGCCTAGAGGTCTAGAAGGATCTAAAGGCCTAGACATCCAGACAGGTCTAAAGGTCTTCAGGTCTTGAGATGTGGACATATGAAGCCTCTACGTTTTTAGAGACCTAGAGGTCTAAGAGGCCTAAATCATGTATTATAAGTCGTATCATCATTACAGTAAATTTAATATCAGAAACCCATTGTAAATTTAATGCTGAGTTTTGTTCTATTCTTTGGTAACCCATTACTTTACTTTAAATACGGGGTTGCCTGATGAAGGAAAATTTAAATACATATATATATATATATAATGTTTTGTTTAATCATAGTATTCCATACACTTTTATATATCAAGAATTCCCTGACAAAAACGTATGAATGGAAAAGTATTATAGATTATGAATTTAATCAGTAACTGTGCATTGAATATCATTGAATAACATAACAGCAACAAATAACGTTCATAATCCCTCTTCGTGTTCCAGGTTTATTGGCGCCGCCGTGTCTGACTGCGCCCCTTCACCGCTGTCATTCACCTTCCAGTCCTTTCCAGCAGTTACCAATGATTTCCTCTTCCAAGATCCAATAGTTTCATAAAGAGGCAATCAAAGAATCAAATAAGAGTAACCGCTGGGATAGAACTTGAAGGAGCACCATCATCATATCTTATGTTGAAAGAAATGTAAAGAATCAAATATGATGATCCCTCCTGCAACCTCTGCATTTGTTGTTTCTATCTTATATTTTTCTCGAAATAGTAACTTACCCAAAAATATGGATGAAGTAGGAAGACCATCAATAAAAACATGAATAGTGATCATAATTTCTTTTGACGTTGGAGGTGAACAGGCGGGCAAAAATACTATAAAGAAGTGAAGCGAAAAAATGCAAGTAGGATGTCACCTTCATTATTGTTGCATCTTATTGGTTTTTCATTAAATAACGACCACAAATATAAAATAAAGGTGATGTAGGATGGAGAGCTATTCATGTTGGATGCGAAAAAATCGTAAGTCCCAGAATTGATAGCCGTGCAGAGGTCTAAAGATCTAGAAGTCTAGAGATCCAGTGGTATCTTGAGATGCAGAGGTCTTGAGATAGGTCTCTGGGTCAGTAGGTCTAGACCCCTAACTCAGGTCTCAAGGTCGGGAGGTCTAGAATGTGAGAGGTGCAAAGGTCTAGAAACTTGAGATCCTATATTTTAGAGAGGTCTACAGTATATAGAGGTCTAGAGGCCTAGGGACGCAGAGGCCTAGAGGTCTTGGATTTGAATGCCTAGAGGGTGTAGAGTTGGAGGGATGTGGAATCCAGAATTTTGTATTCGTCTAGCTCTAGTAGAGATCTAGAGGTCTAAAGGTCTTGAGATCCAAAAAGATCTAGAGGTCCAGAGAGGTGGAGATCTAGAGATCTTGGAGCTGCAGATCTAGAGGCCTAAAACCTACACATCTCAAGGTCTCGAGGTCTGCAGGTCTAGGGATGCAGAGGTCTAGAGGTCTTGGGATCCAGGTCCAGCCAAATCTAGAGGGCTAGAGTTCTAGAAAGATCTAAAGGCCGAGATTGAGGTCTAGCGGTGTAGAGATCTAGAGGTCTAGAAGTGCAGAAGTCTTAGATCCAAAGAAGTCTTGAGATTGAGAGATCTATATAGAGGTCTTGAGATCTAGAAATATCAAGAGCTCTGGGTCTGAGGCCTGAAATCTAGAGGTCTCAACGTCGTCTAGAGTTCTAGTATAGAGGTCTAGAGAAATGTCTAGAGATCTGGAGGCCTGGGGGGTCTGGAGAGCACACACACATGAGAGCATACATATGGGAGCATATTTGCTGCGCCTGCCACGGAATCTGCACTTCCATGTTTACTAGGTGGGAGGTTTCTTATTGTGATGTGCACGTTCTTTTACTATATTTTACGTGCTATTCTTCCAACTGCAACCTGTTCTCTTCTTTTAGATAAATACCTATCTGGCCGCAAGCATGTTTTGAACGTGCATGTGCCAAACAAAACATCAACAACTCACTAGCTCACACAAGCCAGTGCAGTTGACGCAAGAGACGCAAGCCTGTATTCCTTTCAAGGGAACCCTCAGCGTCTTCAGCTTGGCCTGACTTTCCGAACATCAGGAAGATCATCCGGGTGAGATGCTGCGAGGTCGTAGATATGCCCCGCTTCTCGAATCTTCAAGGACACCAGGTCGGAGCGGCGCGAGGAATTCAACCTGGAAGTGGCCAGGTGTGCCCAAAATGGGCTCCAAAGATACTCAATCTGGCAACTCAGCCCATGACACTCCACCGCCTCTCCATGGATCTGAAAGTCCATAGGTAAAAATAATGTGGCTGCTTTGCTGAATCTTCGACCTTCAGAATGACTGCAAGCTGCCATCTAAGGTTGTCAGTGTTCGGAATTCAGAATGCCTTTGAGGACTGAAGGGTGAGTGAAGCAAATCTAGCTTTTTACTCACAAGCCAAGAGGAATGTATTCAGCCCGTGAAAAGGGAGGGTCGCTTGACCATTTGACAAACCAACTGCAATCCAAGGAACAACCATGGCCCAAACCAGAAAGTCTCTGGTGTGATGTTCCAAGTCTGCTTGCAATATTGGGACAGCTGACGTGGGCCCCATTCTTTGGCAGGAAACATGTCTGTGACATTGTTTGTTGAAGTGTAGTAAACAATTTGTCGACAGGCTTCAACGTCCCACGAGCGGCCCCACGCAGAATGCAGATTGCCACAACCAGTTTGATCTGCACAATCCCGGTATTCTTCCGTAATGTTGTGGCAAATGACACCTCCTGCTTCAGGCGCAGTGTAGAGATTTGGAACGCATCAACCAATAAATGGAATCATTGTTTCCTCGTTTCCTCAAGTCGGCTCCAAAAAGGATTCAATCATGTTCAATCTGTGTCCAGAGTGTTGCTTCGTATGTCAAATTTCTGAAAGCATTTGGAGAAAAGGAGCACCAACCACGATCATTTTTGACCCGGATGGAGCGCCTGTAGCATTGTAGTAGGAACCCACAGCTTTGGCCAAAAACTCCAGTGCATTGAGGCCCTTCTGCTCACAAGCAGACTTCAAAGGCCACGCTTTGAGGCCCTGACCGAACAGATTTGTCGCATAGGGGTAGTTCCCCATGGCCACCTACACAGGGTTGGACAGAGAAGTCTGGCCAAAGCATTGGGGAAGGTGAAAACAAGTCAAGTATCGTAATTAGGTTGGAGGAACCTGGAAGGTTGTGAACCACTTGTGCAACTGCTCAATGCGTAAGTCAAGGCTCTGTGACAAATGCATTCCGCGCCCACAGGATTAGCTCATCCAAACGGACATCATCGTTGCAAAGGCTGAAGGCCGCCCGCAAGTGCTGTCTGCTCCTTGACAAGCAGGCAAAGGATGGAAGGAATGCAGGAGAAGAAACCACACATCCCAACTCTCAGCAAAGGCAAATACATAGGCACACCTGCATGTGGCTGCCCCATCAATCTATTTATCTGCTCATGCAATCAACATATTTTACACATCTATTTTGCAGTTCAATATCACTGTATAATTGATTATAATTACATTGACTACACAAATTGCTCGCAGTCCCCAAACTGACACCCTTCGGTGGGATTTGGCCCCTTGCTCACCACTGCAGGTGATAAGTTGCCGACCACATCACAATCAATTTGATTCTTTTGATCTCTCTCGTGGCCCAACTGCATGATCTTCATTGCTGCTTGGTGCTCTTGCGCAGTTTGATTGACACAACTCGGAGATATATAAAGCACATGTTTAAAAATATGTTTAAATATATGTATATAGTTCTTTTAGAGAAAATGACTATATAAAAAATATGAAACAAAAACTCGGTGCGCTGCACTGTACTCGCCGCATCTCGTCGGCCGCCAGGTGTCTGAGACGTCGCGGCTGCGAAGCCACGGCGCACTCGCTGTGCGCAGCCAGGGCTCACCGCCTCCGCCGCATCGGTGACCATGCGGAAGAAGGAGCCGCCCACGCGGTCGAAGTGGACAGGGGCTGAGGAAGCCACCTGAAGACAAAACCGAATTCATCTTTTGGTGTTGTCTTAATCAATCTTAATCATAATAATATAATAGATCATAATATCATCATGATAACCTATCCTCTCTTCGTCGTAGTTTCATCATTTTCATCTCTATCTTCATGCTCATGCATGCTCATAGATTTTCCCTTGCGCTCTGTTTGGATCCTAATCTTCTATCACTGCTTCTTTGCGTCGAATTTCTATCATGGATTTCCAGCAATCTCGAATCCGGCATCGTTGCTGAATCGCCGGATCGGACTTGCAACGGTCAAAGCGGAAATCCGCCAGTGTCCATTCCATCCAAGGAGCTGCAGCAAAGATGAGCTCAGGATACCTTTGTCAGAAGCAAGTGCTTTACTTTCATTCACTTTTTTCATTTCGATGCCATGATTCAGCCGTAGAGTCGCATCAGATCGGATCCATCATCATCTTGCTCATGAACATGCCTCTGATGCACCCAAGTTGCTTGGCTCGCATCCAGCTGCTTAACATCCCTCCATATGAGCCTCCGAACGCCACCACGGGGCGCTGAGCACGAAGAGACTCCGGGACCAGGAACCTTTGACAAGATTGAAGCGACAAGACTTCCGGAAGCATCACACCATCCGACACGGCGCTCCGTCCCAGAGGCCCAGGCACCGAATGAGTTGCGCGTAGTCTTCAAGTGCCTGTTCGACGTTGAGGTACTGAACCTGCAAGCGGCCAAAATCCTCAGGTCGACGCACGCGCTCTTTCCCACGTCTTCGAGCTTTGTTCGGAGAAGGGCAAACCGGAAGTGCAAGGGACAAGGCGTGATCTGGATGTGACCAGTACATGACATCAGGTCAATGGAACAAGCTGGCTAGTCTAGCACAGACTGTTACCTCTCATGCTTTCAGTGCTTTAGAAAATGCAGCCAACCAAGTTTTAGGGCCGTCAGCGGACACGGCCACACATCTGGCAGCACCCTGCAGCGGTACCGACACCCAAGCTCCAAAGTGCACACAGGCACCTCTTCATATCCTTCTTGCTGCTAGTAGCGATGCCAGGAGCCCCGTTCGTAGCGTCCTTGCTCCTCGTAGCGATGCCCTTTGCTCCTAGTAGCGTCCTTGTTCCTACTTGAAGTAAGAACCCCAATGTAGCTCTGGCAATCTGGGGAAAAACATCCCAAAAGGACGACAAACTGTGTGGAGTGGGCTAGGGGCCACTGAGGGAGGTCTAACAATTGCCTCACAATCGCCGATTCCGACTTTGGTTTTAAAAAAGTCTGCAGAAATCAACGTCATTCTTGAGTTCTTCTTGCTTATTATGCAAATACTTTGGACATTCTATTGTTCTGAAGCTTCTTTGGTTCTTAAACTATGTAAAACAGGATTGCATATATAACACTATATAACTATTAACATATATTAACATGGTTCTCAATCGCGCACCAATCGCCGATCAATCGCGATGCAGCATGGTTCAATCGCGGAGGATAAGAGATATAGATCCTTTCATGATTGGCCCTCATATGTGTCCCCTGAATGCGTTCGCTCGCCCGAGCTGGTCAGGGTTGTTCTTCTACGCTGGTCCATTCGCCCTGAGTTGAGAAGACTCTTACAAGTTCCGCTGTGAACAAAGTGCAACCGAGTGCAATCCAGCTTCTGGGCCGAAGGGGAGGCTTTGCCCGTAGAAGCGATGCTCGGCAAAGACCAACTGAGCGCCCAAGGCCGTCGCAGCTTCTCTAAGGAAGCCGCTGAAGTTGGCAAAGACCTGCAACGAAGCACTTCCGCACTTCAGGCAAGACCTCAATTCATGTTTAAATAAAAAGAAAAACGTTTCAGCATTGAGTCGAACAAATACCAAGAGCATCTGCACAATTAATGGCCCATGTTGCTGCTTCATGTATGCCGATCAGCCACACTCAGTTTACTTCAAAGAAGCGCGGGCCTCGATGTCGCCCTCGTTGCCGCAGAAAAACAGCACCGGCCCATCAGCGCGAGCCTTCGACATTTTTCCGCAGCAAATGAGACAACGAGATCTAGAGGTGTTCGACTTGTCTCTGGTACCTGGTTTGAGCACCTTATGTGTGAAGATACGACCGTAGGCTTGATCTCACAGATAGCCACTGAATGATGGATCGCTCCAGGAAGACTCTTTCCGAGATGAGAAAGGCTTCGTGTCAGGATGTCTCAAGCCAAAATACATTACAAGGCAGTAAGGTCGGAACACCATCTGTGATTGCCCTCACCATTTATGTACACCTCCATGACCTGGCCCGGTCAAACAGTCCTTGCGCCTGGTCATCATCCAGGAGATAGCGCCTCAAGGATGTCGGAGATGCTGCGGCTGAAAAATGCGCAACTTCTTTGGGACGAATGGATGTAAAGGAGCCGCAATGATGGAAGCGAATCCAAACACATGTGCGCCTCCAACGGGATACCACGAGGACTGGCTGGACAACAAAGGGAGTATTTCGATTGCAACTGATTCAATCCGTGTGGCTGCGAGAAGGTTCCAATGTCGCTACCTCAGCAAGGGGTTCAAGTGCTATCAAATGCTCAAAATAAGGGCAGTGTCAGTGTCAACTGGGCAGCAGTCGCAACCTGTTTTGAGAAGAGGTGCTGTGGTCGATTTGCTGTTCAAACCAGAGGGTCTTCCAGGAAGCCGCTCCGAGCAAACATGTGGCGAACGACTTTAGAAGCCTCATGTCTCGTAAAGTGAGTAGTCCGTTGTCGTCGAGTTGTGTGGGAGTGGGAGTGGTTCTGGAATTGAAGCCCGCTAAAGCCCTCTCTTCATTCATGATTACCAACTAGTAACTAGTACATAGATGCAGAAACAATATATATGTAAATGTCATGATGTATCATGCAACATGTGTTTCTGACTTTGATGCTTGCAAGTCAGTGAACCTGATCAGGACTTTCTCTAAAGCTGCAACGTCCAGCTCTATAAGGTGCTAAGATATGCGATACGCTGCCAAAAAAATGCATTGAACAGCGTGTTGGTTGAGTGCATCGATTTTTTGTCAGAGGCCCCTTAACAAAACCCGAAATGGACTGTAAAATGAAAACAATGATTTTTGAAAAACGCGGAGCCTTCAGGCTACCGTGGTTTCTTCAGAGTTTGGAACTTTCAGCACTGTCTGAAGCGACCCTCCTGGAAGACCTCCTTCGCTTTTTGAGAAAAAGTCTCCAGGTCCTGGCGCAATGGAAGTACATGTCAATCAAGACAGGAAAAAACAAAAAACCGCCTACATAAAGATCATACAAAAATTAAAAACAGATTTGGAAGAATTTGGTCCTTCCGCAACTCAGCCATCTCACTTTCTGTTTCCTTTGCGGTTGCCTCATTCACTGAATGCGTTTGGTTTCAGGTCCAGACCCAGTTGCTGAGTTCATAGGTTTCGATGGGTTCAACCTCACTCTAACAGAGACCAACCTAGATATAAAGCCCAGACTTCGCCCGAGGGGACTTCGTTGCTCCGGTGAGCTATCAAAAAAATGAGTCTTATGGAGAGCCCATATTTGGTAGAGACCCGCTTGGCGTGTGCTTCGAGGGGAACGAATCGTCTCCAATTTTTTGGTTTCCCTTACCAGGCCTTACCAGTGGTCATGATAGCCCTCTGGCTGGGTCACTGGTGACAGAGATCTTCACATTCACTGTGGTAAGAGCTATCCACAATAAAATGTAGGTGATCGAGGTTGCTGTACCTGCGCCGACAAACTCCTGCGAAGGCCAAGCACGAGCGGCACGTGTGGAGGGCACAAGCAAGGGCTGCAACTGTCGCTACCAGGTGCCCCAAATCTGTGGGGCAAATGCTGTGCCTAGTAGCATCCGGAGGCGCTGCGTGGGTGGCCAACAGAGTTGTCAATCTGCTGAGAGGGGGCCAGTATCTCACCTTTCTATTGGCCGACAAACAACTCACTTAAACAAATTCTCTCTGTGGCTTGGGAAGATTGGCAGTCCTCAAGGAACCAGGACTGTACGGCCAACAAAGTAGCATCCTCATGAATGTAGCTGAGAGTGCACCTTCAAGCCTTTCCAGCCTGGACGGAAAGGAGAATTGACTATTTGGCAGTAGTTTAGCGGAAGCGGCCGAGGGCTCCTGTTCTTCTTAGTGGAAGTGGCTTGCCAAAGACCGAGATGCCTGACACGTTTGCCTGGCCCCGTCGCCTTGGTTCGCTCCAACCACTCCGTCGTCAATTTAAGCGAGCCTGGGTTCAGCTGCCCAAAGCTTGACCAGTTTGTACAAGGCCAGGCCACGCCCAAAAGTTGCCGCGGTGGAGTCGAAAGCAATAAGCAAGTCTAGCGCCGCAAGTACCATCAAAGGGATCAGTGGAGCCTTCTGGTTGGGCGGCGGCGCAGGCGCGGGCGGCCTCCTTGCAACGCAAGCTCTCTGCCACGCTGGGTCGGCCCTTCCCCTCTGCGCGCATGAAAACAGTGGAGAAGAACCAAGCAGTGGAGATCCAGTAAAGTTTGCCCGCGTAGCCAAGTTCTGCCGCGCTGCTGCAACACGGCGCTAGGAAATCAAGAGCGTTTTTTTCGTCATCTACCAAAAGGCTACAATAGCACCGTCCGGTTGCAGAGGAGCCAATGGTACTGCGCAGCTTGCGTGGCAGAGCCGCCGATTTTGAAAGCTGCTCGATTTCCTCGTCGCTGAAGACGTCTGTTCCACTGTCCATCCAAGCGACAGCAAAAAGAACAAAAGAAAGCAAAACAAGTCAAGCCAAAATTAACTTAACCAGCTTCTCCTGGTCACACAATCAAATGCTGGGGCAGAACCCCTCAAAATGCTCCCTCTCAACTGAACCCAAACTATCCCAAACTCAGGTGAAAACCCAACCCGGTCAACTAGAACCACTCAAAGGGAGGGAAACCAGCCTTCCCAGGCAACCCCCCCACTTGAACGCTAAGAGATCACCTTACTTTCCGAAGGCAATTCTCACTGTGTATATATATAATTATATGATTTTATATATGTATTGTATATATATATATATATCAGCATCATGCAGCAACGCCGTGAGCCTCGGCTTTCACTGCCACCTCTTTGGCCTTAACGGCTTCTGACATGGCGGCAGCGGCTTGTGTCTCCTACCGAAACAAGCCCTCTCTCTGCACAGGCTGCGTGCTGGATGCGATGCAGTGAACACTTTCTACCATGCATAAAACAGACTCTTAGATTCTCCCAACATGTAGAAAAATGCCCGGCTGCAACAAGCAACACTGGACCTGTGAAACGTTGGCGCGTCGACCCCAGTCAGTGAGTCACGTCTTCCCAACAAGCAACAGCCACAGCATAACGGCAAGAAAAACGCAAGAAAAACGGACAATGATAGTGGTGTTTGGCAAAACAGTGTTTGGACAGAACAAACAGCCTTCCTCAAACGTGTCAAAAAGCCTTTCTCATGTCTTGTCCTTCGTGTGGAGCTCCACCTCAACGGTTTGGAGTACTTCCTGGTTGTGTGATCCACCAAGCTGCGGCACTTTGGAATTTCTCTGCTAAAGAGGAGGGATGCTACAAGACAATGTCAAGCCCTGTCAAATTCTCACCAATTCGGACCCTGTCTGTCAGCCCTTTAATGACTTCTTACATCGTGTTGCCATCATGCGGCACTTCCCTGTCCTCGCACTTGTGGTGCATGTCTTCCAGCTTGACCATTCCCTCTGACAAAGCGTCACGAGCAATACCAAGGAGCCGCACCTGACTTCTTTGTGGCGGCAAAGGCCGGCGGTCTTTCGTCTTCCGTGACCCGCGTCGAGTCCCGACCACCCGGAAATCGCTTGCCTGGTGCGGATGAAGCCTCGGAGGACGACGGCGAAGATCTGCAAAGTGGTGTTTTGCCCCGCCGAAAGGACCTCCTTTCCCTTTGAATCTCTCTTTTATAGAGCATCTCATTGTGGGGAGGGTCCAGTGCCAATGCCACTGTTCAGTGGCGCTCTTGCAGACTAGGTACCCAGTTGCATCTGGAACAGAGAGGCAATGGTGCAAGCTATCCTTGCAAGAGATGCCAAAAGACATGGTCAGGCAACGAGGCTCCGGTGCTTTTCTGTTGAGATCTAAATCCAGACAAGTGTCGATCAGCATTTGTCGAACTGACATGGGACAATCCAGTTTCAAGATCTCCTGCGAGGAACGCTGGATTTGACAATTTGGCCCACAGTGGTCAAGGCCTCTCTTCTCAGCAGCAATGCAACGACAACTATACGAGTAGCTAATACAACATCAAGTACGTCAAAACTAGGCAGTCTCTGTGGGTCATATATGACTGTTGCGCAATCCCAAATGTCAAACTCCACTTTTGCTCCGCGCCCTGTTAGCACAGGCCGTGCTTTCACCGGAAACCGACTTTGGGTTTCAATAAGGGTCTCATTGCTGGGCCGCCCCCCAACGAGGCCACGGATGCTGCGACATAATCAGGCACCCAGTTGCCCTGTGCTCTGTGCAACTCTGCCCGGGAGGTTACACCAGAAAGAACCAACAACGTCTGCATACCTGACGTCAAGTGCTTGGTGCATGACTGGTTGTTTTCAAGTCTAGGCATCCCTGTGCTCACCAAAGACGCTCTAAAACTAAATGACTGCACTGTCTCTCAGCCTGCATTGTTTCCAAACGCTATGTCTGTATCGAGTCCTAAGTATGACGTGGCAAGGAACAAGCTGCACGTTGATTGCGCATGGTGATTGGGAAGGCTGGGCCCAAATCAGCCCAAACGTGTTCAACCACGTTACATTCCGTCACAAAACAAAATATTCTGCAAATTTAGCAACAAGTATCTATCACCAACCATCACCATCTTCCGCGCTGGAATATCCAAGGAGTGCTCGATCAATTTTGCAAATTCCAGGCTTGGCTTGCCTTTCATGGCAAGGCACAAACCACTATCGTTCGATAGATAGGCATATAGGCTAGATTTGCCTATGATCCCTGGCAAAATAGTTTAGATCAACCGTGTTTTCAACTCTGCTCCGAGGTGAAAGGCACGTGTGCCACTGTAACATTGGGCACTTGCCACCATTATCTGCGTCTATTTTGTGGCAAACTCAATTGTCCATCGTCCATGAGGATATAAATCACTTCCTTGTCCATGTTGGCGTCGATTGATTTTTCTAACTCACCTTTGACAATTTGCATGGACGTCATTGCACCCGACATGGCTACCCATTGAAAGGACACAAGACACAGCTTCAAAGCAAACCATGAACAGCTGTGTTCTTTTTCAGACTTTTGAGTGACCTGACCTTCATTATCACCAGCTATCATAAGTCACAGGCTCTTGCCAGGGAACGACATGCGTGGCTCTAAGCTTTTCTCCCCAGTGCCCAGGGCCGTGTTCAAAAGAACGTGTACAAAATCACCGGTCTTTTTTTTTATCTTATGGTAAACATCAAGGCCGGCACACTTGTTTCCACCCTCGGGTCGAGGAGACTAACCGATGACAACGTTCTGCAAAACATGATGTGTTCTTCACACGCTAAATGACATTGTCCAACGCCCCCCTTCCCTATGTTAATGGCCTGGCCCTGCGATGACAACATTGTGAAAACCATGACAATGCTGTGAAACAACGACAATGTTGTGAAGCAGATCACAATGTTGTGAACATGAGGACAATGTTGTGAAACCGATGACAATGTTGCTATGTCGATGATGATGCTGTGTTATCGGTGAGAAATGTTGTGTTTTGATTTGGATTATAACCCTCCGGAAACACCGGGTGAGTCAATCCGTGGGCACCTTTATATATTGTAATAAGCCCTTCAGTATAAGGACATCCTCCAAAACGCTGGCAAACACTCCGGCAAAAGTGCTGGATAAGTGACCGGTCAAGTGTTCAGATCGAGTTTTTTGGATGGCAAAAGCTTTGGACAAGTCTCCGGTCAGAAGCACCAACTACAAAAAAAGGTGGGCAAAAGCATTGGACAAGTCTCCGGTCAGAAGCACCAACTACAAAAAAAGGTGGGCAAAAGCATTGGACAAGTCTCTGGTCAGAATCACCAACTACAAAAAAAAATAAAATCACACTAAATATAAATACACTAAATCACTAAAGGCTGTTGTTTTGTCTGCTCTTGTTGATGCAATCTCGGCTCCTGCAGTTGCATCTGCTAATGGCGGCCGACGCCCTGCCGCAGCGGCCACAGCCGCAAGCACGGAGCCCGCACCAGGCCATTGGTGTTTTCCAGGACCAAGCTGACCAAAAAGGTCCTCAGCGAAAAAACGCGTAGCTCAGCTGGAGCTCAAGAGGATTCAAGGTGTCCGAAAGCAGGCTACCAAACTTTGATAGCCTGCAATGCGTGGTTTCACCCAGGAAAGGCACACGGTGTCAAATCCAATCCGAGGCGATGCCGAGGCGATGCAAACGGAGTCACATCATTGGATGCAAAGAGGGGGACGCCGTTCCGGACGAGGCTAGAGGCCAATGCCAGCTTGTAGTAGTTTAGGTGCTGATCCAAGCCTTGCTCAAAAAGTAACTTCAAGCAAGGCATGTCGGCGTGTAGGATCTAAGAGCCTTGAGGCCTTGAGCCGTTGCGATTTGTGAACTGAGAAAACGAAACTGAGGAATAGACCACACACCACTGCTCCAAAGCCTCAACTTGAGCGGGGAAACACGAAAGGTAGAGACGGACCGAGTAGCTGTCGGGACCTTTTCTGGTGAGGGACTGTCTCCGGTGTTTCAGGAACGTGCCCCTTGGTCAATCATGGATGAAACCAACAAAGCCAGAGAGCACAAGAAGGCATAAGAAGGCTCAAGAGGAACTCCGTTGCGGTCAGATTGCGCCACACGGCTCTGCAGAGAGGCTGCGTTGCGTCGACGCTCGTTTGTGTCTAGGTGTGTGAAAACAGGCGTGCGTAAAAGTCGCAATGCGTAAACGCTCGCATGTGTACCAGCTATGGTCCCACAGCTGCACGCACTGTGTCAGGATTACAGGCCTGCACGCGTTGCGTCGAAGCCGCAGTGACTCAGTGACCAACCCCCTTGTAAGGATAGTGCTGGAGGGGTGCGGCCGGCACTGCCAGGGATGGACGTCACGCTATGGTGGGTGTGCTCCACGATGCGGCAAGATTTCGCCACGCTAGGGTATAAGGCTGAGTCGAATGGTGTTCCGCGACGCGAGGGGTTTCTCCACAGGGCTTTGCAGAGAGGCTGTGTTGCATCGATGCTCGTTGGTGTCGAGCAATATGGTCTGTGAACGCAGTACGCGCTGTGTCAGGCTGCCGGGTGCGCACGCGCGGCATCGAAGCTGCATTGCGCGACCTCATTGCGCAGGGTTCGTGCTGTATTGCGCAACCTCATGGCCAGCGTCGTACTGCTGTGACTGTTAAGCGCATGACTTCACCTTATGTCCAGAATTTAGTAGTGCTGGCGACGAGGGGAGGGGACGGGGAGGGGAGTGGAGGGGGGAGGGGGGGGTGGGGGTGTTAGACATTGATCTACCAATCTTTAGTCCCGAGCAAGCTCTCAAGCCAGTCCCTTTGCTTCGCAAAGCAAACTCAAGGTAGTCCTTACCAGGCTACCTTTCGTGATTTGGCACAAAACCCACGAAAAACAGCTTTCGCAGGTGACCTTTGGGACCTTGCAGCACGCTTTCTCGCACGATTCTTCCAAGGCGCTGCTTGGATCGATGCGCCTGAGATTCGCTGAGCTCAAGCTGCTCAAGCTTTTAAAGGTAGAAAGAGATAGCTTCTTGTTACTAGTAGTAGCACGGCCAGGAGCCCCTAGTAGCGTCCTTGCTCCTAGTAGCGATGCCAGGAGCCCCTAGTAGAATCTTGTCAGCTTCTTGTTGCTAGTTGCAATGGCCTCCAACCTACTTGCGATGGCCTCCACCTAATAGCGTCTTTGCTAAGCAAATATGCAATGATGTCGTGCCTTGAGTCATATGAGCGAAGCAATATGTCAAAAGCGAAGCTGAGCCAAGTGTCTCCAAGGCAGTCGGAATGTCTTTCAAGCTCTTGCCTGCTCAGGGAGTTTATCAAATTGACTCCGAATTGACCCTATGCTTCCCAGGCTTGGTCCAAACCTGCGTCGTCAGGTCCACCCTGCGTGCGATAGCCAAGTGCCTGGACTTCATCTCGAAGACCAGCCTCTCAGGAGACTCGAAAAAGTGTTAAACTTTTGTCTTTCTACAAACATGCCCAGGACTTGCGGTTCCCCCCCGGGTATTTTTTGGGGGGGCTCAATTTCCATGTATATAAAGTTATATATATATATGCAAAAGGAACTTTGGGGCATGCGAATAGCATTGCAACCCCCAAACTACCCTAATAATACCAAGTTGATTGGTGCAGGGGCGAACCATGCATGCTGGTACTAAAAACACAATACGTGACATGAGCACAGAGAAAGTTTCAAGAAAAGACAGGTACATCATCAAGACACCATTTTTCACCTGACTTCTATCCAAACAGATCAAGTCTTGGACGTCCTAGACGATCACTCACATCTCCAACCAACGCCAGTCTGACATGACTCGCCCAGCTTCCGACACCTCGCCCACAATGTAAATAGATCGATCTTTGGAAATGCCACGTGCTTCCTGAAAGCCGGTCAACAGGATTTACCTCTGAAGGAATGAACAAATAGACATGGTATTGGAGAGGTCAGCGAGGATAAGCTGGAATCAATGGCTATTGATGGCTATTCTATTCCTGCAAAGTTGGCCTGTCAAAAACAGTTCAGGTGAGATGATGTTGGCACTCAAAGATGGCTCCCCTTTCACTCTTTCACCTTCTGGAATCGAAACCAACAACTTAGCCAATGCGTAAATGCATGGGTTCCAAGCATCCAAAAGTCGGGCGACTGCATTGGCACTGTTGAAGACGTCGCTCTCCATAACCCAGTCCAATCCAAGGGATTTCAATCGAGATGCAACCTGGAAGAGTTCTTTCTATTGAACATGTCAATATTTGCGAGTTCCCATGTGAACTGGACAAGAACATCAAAAACACTGAAAGGCTCGTTTGTTCAAGGCCTCGGATCGAGTTCGCATCGCATTGTTGGTGGCGAAAATCACAGATTTTCCATGTCCACGCAAATCTTCCAAAGTCTCTTGCACACCCTCAACCTTGCAGGCGAAAGGTCTGGGGCAGAAACTGACATGTTTGGGACTTGGAACTTCAATTGTTTTTTTGATGTGCTGCTTGATAAACATGTCTGCAGTTTTGATGTCTAGACTACGTGGCATGAACCAGCAAAGGTTAATTTGCGCACTTGCATGATGACCATGGCCATGTTTGCTGCATGCAGAATCCACAACCAGCTATGCTTCGTCCTGAAAAGAAACGGGATTCTGGCTGTGGCTATTTTTTGAACTTTGAACATTGCTTTCCAGGTCGACCAAAGAGATATGACCAGGATTCCGGATATGACGAGTTTTGCGGAAAACATGTCAGAATATGGGAATCATTAGGTTAAGTTCAGATCACTTGGGAGTTCAGGCTCCAAGTCCTAGGTGGCTAAACATTGGCCAGCTATAGGTTGCACATGAGATCGACCAGAAAGAAACACCGTCTGACTGTCCGACAGCACAAAAAATGACAGTTCCCCATCTGCCAGTAACGTTTCATCTTCGGATTATATAGTTCATTTTAGTTCTGCATGACTGAGCAATCTTGTGATGCTTTGCATGATCTCGCTTTTGTTGATTTTTGCCTTATGACATGGGATTTATGCACCCCAGACATAAAGCGGTCAAGACAAATGATGTGGGAATATGTGAGATCTGATGTGTTTCTTCCCACACAATCAGGCTGAGTAAGGTCAAAGTTTCTATACAGTGAGCGACTGGTATCACAAGAGTCAAAATAGTGTCCTTCTCCTTCATGTTGTTGCCAGGGAGCAAGGAAGCCTCCAATCCATATGACGCCGTCTAAGTCAAAGACAAATGCCTCAGCACCTGCAGGACACTGTAGCAGTCAGGCAAATGAATCTTGAAGATTTTGCTAAGCTTGTGAAGAGGATAGAAGAATATATATATACTATAGAAGAAGCAAGGTTCACAAATAGGTTCACTCGTTTTTGACAGGTGTGGTATGTGCACGGTGATGTGCACGGTGATGTGCTCTTATGTCTTCAGAATCGGATGTGCTCTTGTTCTGACCAAGTCGAGGAACTCTCGATCAATTTGTGAGCCAAACGGGAATCCAATTCTCGCCGCTTGGTCCAATGACCAGAGAATGCCAACGACCGATTGTGGTCCACTAGCTCCCGAAACCTTGAGTTCCTGGGTGCGTGATGTTGAACGGAAACCCAATGGCAGCATGGAGAAAAAGAACGAAGGCCACCAGGATGAGAAAGTTTTCTAAAAGCCTCCTCATGCCTTCGTTCCAGACATCTCCAGACTCCAACAACTACTCTTGTTTTGCCTCAAAGGGATTCTCTCAAACTGAAGGCAAACAAATCATTACAGGTCCTGAGACTATTTACACAAAGGCTGTCGCATGGCATACGCTATCAGCAACTCAGCATCAGACAGGGCAAGGCATGAGAGCACCACCAGGAGTTGCTTGACTCGTGCCATTTCAGTATCATTTGGTCATGTTTCCTAACTATGTAAGTGAGGCTTGGTCATTTGCAATCATGGCTGCAGAAGGCACGAAATAGATTGAAGATCCACTGAAAAATCCACTTCGAAGTTGCACAACTTCTGCTCCGACACCAAAAACACACAGCCACCGTGTGTAAGAGGCGTCCTTGACAATCTTCTCACATTCCTCCGACCGCTGAGACTTCTTCAGGACCTGCAAGTTCAGCTGTTCCTACTCCAAATATGTGGTGCTTCTATAATGCCTTTTACCAACAAAGATTCCCTTCATCCCTCTGATTGGAACATATTATTGAAACAGTGCCGAACTACCTCTTGGTGCACGAGAAAGCTGATACGCCGTCGCAGAGTCTTCCTGAACGTCAGCTCACTCAGGGCAGCAGTCTGAAAGCTACATGTGCATCGCCCGAGGAAGCCTCCCCGCAAACGAAAGGATTTGGTCTGTTTTCTCCCCTTGGCAATCCTCTCTCAATCCCTTTACAAAGTGACCTTTTGGTTAAAACAAACACCTTGAACAATTATAAGATATATAATATGGTTTTTCCGTGTGTGAGTGTGTTGGAGGAAGCCATCCGGGAGTTGTCTCGGTCCTGGATGCTAACGCTCCCACGGTGAGGCCCATTCTCTCCTCGAGCCTCGTGATAGGACGGGCCGTCTGAATGACGGACGGGCAAAGGCTCTGTGATGACAACAAGCAGCCTTGGGGAAAGAAGTAGAATGAATGTAGTAGAAAAGCTGTTGCAAATACATTATCTCCCTGTTCATATTGTAACTTGAGGCCAGAGGGGGTGAACGAAAGCTAGCCGGGCTTCCGGTGGTCTGCTGCTGGTGCTGCTGCTGCTGGTGCTGCTGCTGCCGCTGCTGCGCTGGGCGCTGCTGCGCTGGGTGCTCTGCAGGCGCCGGGTCGTCTGCTGCTGCTGCTGCTGCTGGCGCTGGGTGGTCTGCTGCGGCTGCTGCTGCCGCGGCGTTGGGTATGCTGCTGCTGCTGCTGCCGCCGCTGGGTGGTCTGCTGCTGCTGCTGCCGCTGCTGCGCTGGGCGCTGCAGATGCTTGGTGTGCTGCAGCTGCTTGGTGGTCCCGCTCACCGCGCGCAGGGGGGAGTCGAACCGCGGGGGGGGGGTCCATAAGATTGATTTAATCAATTATTTGAGGTTTCTGAGGTGCGTCCACCCCGTCACTTAACTTGCTAAAGCAAGAGCAACTCCAGCTAGCTAAGGCTAGCTTTCGTGATTATATGTTATTGTCATGAAAACATCATTGAACAGCCCCTGGATAATCAGAAAAGCTGAGATGGGAAGGCCTGCCCCGGAGCTCTCCGAAGGTGATGCAGCTCAGGTCAGCTCCCACTAGGAGAGCCTGAACCTTCAAGATCAAGTCAACTTGCATAGGAATGCTGGTGTGAAAGTGATCAAATCTATTCTAAAGGACAAAGGCACGTGTCCAATCAACTGAAACTCATCTTTCCCAGTCTACATCGATCTTTGCTCAGTCTGATCAGCCATGATCAGCCTCTGCCGCAAAGCAGGCATCTGAAATATCCACCGCCTTACCGACCAAAGTCCGATGATCACGTCTGACCGGATCGTCCGAAATGTGTCGCATGAAGGCACAGGGATGCACAGGGTCTGCACAGGACAGGGATGAGGCCTGCGCTTTGCTGGGACTTGCTGGCTTCTCGCCTTCCTCTGTCGAGATTGATGATATTATAATATTTGTACTTTTATGTATTTGTTTTAAATATATGATTCAATGAGGGCACTTCAATTCGCAACAAGACGTTTTATTCACTCGTAGACTCGTAGTTAATGTCCTCGATCTCTGGATCTGAGTGCTTCAAGAGCTTGCAAGGAGCCTCCAATTCAGAACTGGGAAATCCAACTGTATATTTGCCAGAATATGGTAGCATTGAGTTTCGCCCAACCTTCAGTTCACCGCATCTCTCAAAATGTGCCTCATCTTCGCATGGACCTGATGCCTTTGCCTTCTCAGGCATCACCTGCAATCGCAAAACGAACGCTCGAATCCCACACAAAAATGCCACTGAAATAGTGTCTTGTTGTGCCTCAGGCCAGGAGTAGAGGAACGTTCAATATGTGCCGCAGTGCCAACTAATTAGTGAATTACCTTGAGCCATTGCACAGCAAGCAGGAATTCGATGAAATTCGCTCACCTTCCATGTCACACTTGCTTCAAGTCGGGATCTTCCATCGCTGCAAATGTGTGTTTCAAACGAGTCAAAAGCAAAATTTAAAGGGCCTTTCAAAATGATCAAAGAAGTCTGATGAGTGCAACGTCTCATGCATGTAGAGTGCCTGCAAACATGTTTTCCCTTGCGGACAAGAACTGGAGATGAAGATCGAATCTCATTGAGATGCGTTGTGTCTAAGTCTACCTGTGCAGATTTCAGGGGCCTTGGCCTTTCTGCTGGCGTGTTCAGAAGAAAAACGTTTGAGTCAGGTGTCGGACTACAAAGGTGATGGTGCCTCACTCAGTGACTTCTCCTTGTATCTACCAGCTCCTGTGCCGCTTCATACTCTCAAGGAGTGAAGTGGCTTACTGCAGTGACAAAAATTATTTTACTTTGGGTGACCCCACCGTAACAATTCAATCATTCAATGCCACGGTTTAGGGAAGCATGTTGCCATGGTCGGGGGCTTTGTGGTTCTCGATTTTGCCTGTGTGTCCTCGGGCTTGGGGTGGTTGTTTTAGTGTTGGGGATGTCGCGTCGGGGTGTCGCCAGGGTCTACAGCTGGCATTCTATCCAAAGTGCGGCCCTGTGACCACTGCCACGCAAACTGCTACGCACAACAGTAAGCCTACGCAATTAAGTTAATCCCGAGTACATATTTAACAACGGACCCCCGCCTTTAACAAAAATCATGTTGGATACCCCTAAGTACGGCCTATATGCGTTTTAAAATACCGCCCCTTAAAGCTGCTGCTAAACTACCAACATGGCCGATTTTGGACGAGTCTTTTTATTAGGTTCCAAAAACAACCATAACTGCCTACCTCTGTCCACCCTGTCTATCCACCATGACACGCCGTGTTTACACCAGCAGGCTTTCCTTTCCCCAATGGCACTCACGCAAAACCGCATGGCACAGCAACATCACCGTTTGAAAGCTTTAGTTGTTAGTCTAATGAAGAATCACTATTCCAATAAAGGTTTTTGTAGGGAAAATGGAAAACCCTTCGATCTGGAGGTTTTTTGAATTCTTGATACGAGTTTAATAAAGGATTCTAAAAAGATAAAAAGTTCCGGAATGACCTTTTGGTCTTGAAGCTCTTCCCAGGTGACCTATTTTGGACAACCCCGATTTCAGGGACCCCCTATTTAAAAAACATGCGACCGAGGTGTCCTTATTAGGGGGCCCGTGTTTTTTAATAGGTGGATGGGATTATTGTGTTGAGTTGTGTTGTGTTGTGCATTGTGATGCATTGTGTGTTGTATTGTGTTTGTGTTGCGTGTTGTGTGTTGTGGTTGTGGAGGTGGTGTGGGTTGTGGATTGTGAGTTGTGGGTGGTGGGTCGTGTGTTGTGTGTTGTTGCTGTGGTTGTGATTGTGGTGGGATCCTCTTCTGACATCTTACAACCCTCACCTGACAGGTCGGGAAAAATCTCTTCCTTGGACTAAACATGTGTCTACCAGAACACGATAGAACACGATGGCAAACTGGCAAATCTCCGTTGTCTCCTGTAGCCAATGTCCCATCATGTCCCATCTTTCGCGAACCATGCCTACCATCAAGTGCTTCCGATTTTTTTTCGCCAGGATTCAATCTGAATCCTGCCTTCGGTGATGCTGGTGGTGCCCATGGCTCATTTCATGAATCGCCTAAGAAAATTTAGCTCGTCTCTCGCATTAGCACACACTACAGAAATTGAACTATACAGAAACCTTATATTCACTGAGTCAATCAGTTTAGGCGGTCTTGGCATTTCACGAAACTACATGAAACTGAGGCTCGGTCAGATGACTCCCCATCGATCCTGCAAACCGCTCACCGAAAAGCGACGCAGTCACACAGGGCCACGGGATGCCATTCGGGGGCCTCATCTGCTCCCGTTCCAGTTCTTCACGTTCACGGAATCTCTCCAGTTCATCATCTTCATGCCTGGCACTGTTCATCGAAACCTACTGGAATGAGCTTGCTTTGGCCGTGGTCCATCATCTAGCATCCGCCCCATCAAATGCTAAAGGCCCATCTGCTTGCGCAAACATGTTCTTGATATATGATAGATTATAGTACACCGTTCTACAAGTAGGTGTTTGCCTGAAATTCAACCATGTCCTTCCCAAACGCCAAATAATGCCAAATATCATCAAATATCTCCAATGTGCCGTGGGAAGTCAACTTCGCAAAGAGCTGCAAGAGCTGCTTGCCTTCGGTGCCTTTCCAGCTCTTGGCGGAGCTCCTCCAACTGCTGGTCTTGTCGCAACTGGGCGCGTGAGCCAGGCCCACTTGTGGTGCAAAAGGGCGTCCAACGTCCGGTCCGAGTCCCTAAAGCAATTCCGACAGTGTGGGAGCCCTCCGATGTTCAACATGAACGATACTCCTGGCGTAGGACCTACAAAGTCAATCAATTCCGACGTTTGGAATTCACGAGTCCCAGTGTCGCATTGTGGGAACCCTTCCGGTCTCGGGGGAACCCCATATCATCCATATCGCTAAAAAAGCATCTCCGTTCGAAGAAGACGAGTAAGTGCTCTCCCTTCATATATTTCAGCGATGCATTATTTCAATCACGTATTTCTTGCGATCATCTGTAATATCTGAATGCGACCCAGCCCACCCAACTGGAAACCAAAATTCCTGATTTACCTCTCACACGGCCCAAGAACCTGCAGTTCCAGCATAGCTTCACGCTGTAGGCCATGCAGCCGGTGCAATCGTGCAATGCGATCTACCTTCCAGCCGCAAGCAGGGAAATGATTTCAGGTGTGGAGCGATCAAGCGGACCATTCAAACAATCCTTTCTCAAAAGGCTCGTGCAACTCATAAGAGATATCATTTCAACATATTACTACTCATTACTGAT